ATCTTTTTTCAAATTTCGGATATCTTCAATATTTTTTGAGATATTTGCAAAAAACCAAACCCCCCTTCTTTTTTTCAATTTTTTTTATAACTTTTGCAATTTTTTCGAGCCCCTCTAAATTTTTCAGAAAGTTGCTAGATAGCATTCCGAATTGAATGAGCCCTGAATCAAAATTTTCGATGCCCTTGGACAGAACTTTCAAAAAAAGGATTTTGTGACCCAGACTATGACGAGTCTTGAGGCCTGCTAGACATAAAGAAATTGATATTTCTATTTAGGCATCCCTAAATGTATCAGTCAAACGGAATAAGTTTGACACTGAGTGTATTAACATAACGCGCAGACACGTCGAATGGAATTTTCAGTTGTGCATTTTTCAACAACCACATTTATCAATGTGCAATAACTCAGTAAACGGAAACAACAAGTTCAACACCAACTGCACTGCGACCGTTGCCACATCGCCTTTGATAATTTCTACCGCAGTAGTAGACAAAACATCAGGCATAATAACCTGCAGACCACGCCCAAAATACCCAAAAAATAGCTTTCACACAGTTATCGCCGGCCGTGAAAGTTTATATCTTTGACAATATGTCAGTATGGCAGGCGGTATGATAGATAATATATGACAGGCGGTATGACATCGTCAACTAGTTTGACAACTTTGAATCTTTGTGGTTTTTTTATGGAAATGTACAATGAACAATGAACTTTTTGTACAATGTACAATGAACTTTTTGTAATGAAAGTATTATTTTCAATAATCACATCATGCAGGTGTCAATTTGATGTCTCCTGTCAATATATTCTGCTTAACTCACCTCCAGTGTAGAAATGGAAAAATTATAACCAAGACAAAAATCATCGAATGATATTGATTATTTAGTTATTGAATGAACTTTTCGTGATCAGTCAATAAATATCACTCGGTATGTTAAAATAAAATATACCGGTAATCTGAAAGCTATATGCAGTTTGTCGCTGGCACAACGCTTATTGGAAAAAGTTGTAAAAAAAAGTAAATGCACACCTGCCTACATTTAATACGGTAAATATTGGCAACGTTGTTAGGATTTTTGATAATCTATTTCATGTATGAAAATATACTCACTGGACTCCCTATTGTGAATCATGTCTGATGATGGCGTATAGTGAGGAGCCCTTATGACTGATGGACGGACGCTCTACGATCAAATCCATAGTAAAGTCATTTTTTATGGTGATGGTAAAGTCATGCCAGCCTACAAATATCGGTTTTGCAGCACTTATAACATGAAATATATTTGGTAAATTCTTCAAATTATGGTGGGCGCCCTATCAGCGCATTCTATCTATGGATGCTAAATTTATATCTGGATATATATATATATATATATATACTGAGAAAAATATCCTAAAA